TTGGATTTTGTCAAGAACTTTAAGATGAACAACATGGCACTGTACCAGATATGGCAACAGTATTCAATGCACGGCAGAATGGTAAATTTGTTAATGTGCAAGATGTACTCTGACGAGAAAAACCTTTTACACACACACACACACACACGCGCGCGCATGCACACGGGCGCACACACATACATACAAAGAAGAAAAAATCAAGCTAACACCAAAATAAGCTCATAAGTTTTTTTTTAACTTTATATAAAAATAACGAAAATGAGAAAATCAGCAGACAATTGCTGATACCTCCCGATGATGAGTGGACCGAACGATTACAAAACGGTTCGTCTACGAAACTCTGTAGACAGAACTAAGTGACAAATTTTATATTTGTATTAATCTTATTTATAAAATAAAAAAAGAAGCTAATCCTTACAACAACCATAGCAACATCTGCAACAAGAGAATTTAGCTATAATAACATTTCAAGAACAAAAAAAAATTAAAGAAGAAATCGGAAATCATGTCCCGTTGTATTCATACTAAAAAGTTCCTTTTGGGTTCTCTCGAAATGAGATAAAATGAACGTATATATAATTAAGTAATTCATCGAGTCTAGAAGATACCTCAACAGAACGCACAGGACTGCGGTTTCATCCTTTACTTGAGACTCATCAGCTGTGCGCATCCACTACCGAGAATTGAAACCTGGACAGTTACGTTATCAGGAAAACGTCATACCAACTGTTCCAGGAATCCCTGGGTAGCTTTGAAAAAATACAAAAATTGTTCTCACACCTTACAAAGGGCTTTAACTATGTAATAATAATAATAATAATAATAATAATAATAATAATTTTTTTGTTATTTTTTTTTTTTTTTTTTTTTTTTTTATTTTTGTTTTTTATTTCTTTTGTCTGGGCGGGACCCGGAAAGAAATGTGTAAACGCCAGAAATCAAAGAAAATAAAAATAATAATAATAAATTGTTCTCATGAGTGCAGCCCACACCCTTACGAAGGGCTTTTGTCTATATAAAATATTTTTTTTTCCAATGAAAATGTCATGATGCACCAGGTCCTAGGGAAATCAAAGGAAATCAAAATCAAATAATAAAATAATAATAATAATATGAAATTCGGCATGATAGGGTGGGACAATATCTGCACTGGAAAATCTGCAAATTTTATGGGAAAGAAACTGCACTAAACTGCTATGAACATCACTCTGACCCGTTTGCAGAGATAGGACCTGTAACAATTTAAGGCGATTTTACAAGACACACAGACAGAAAAATCAAAGCTAATCGCCCAGACATCGTAATCAAAGATCACAAAAATAGAATGTGGCTTTTTATTGACATGGCAGTTCCTGCAGATTGTAATGCATCTTTTAAGATCTTCAAAATACAAGAATGTTGAAGTGGAAATCTCAAAAATGTGGCACATGATAACATCAATAATTCCAGTTGTTGTTGGGGTCCGGGGTTTGATTGGAAAAGGTTATGATAGTTTCATTGAAGGGATTCCTGGTAGTCCATGCCTTAAAGAAATACAACAAATTGTTCTCACTCTTTAAAAAAGGGTTTTGTCTATGTAAAATGGGTGTACTCTTTTGTCTTTTTATGCGCCGTATCCTTTCAGGACATAAGCGATCATGGCCCTCCACTTCTCCGCCTTATCCCTTGTGGCTCTTAACAGGTTTTGTGCTTCTGACAACTCCCCTAGACCACGCTCCACCGTCCACCTGCCACATATGTCATGCGCTGCTTTCCCCTGTTTTTTTCACCTCCATTCGACCCGTGAGTATCAGATTCTCCAGGCCCTCTTTTCTCATCACGTGTCCCGGAAATTTCATCTCCCTCTTCCTTATTTTAATTTTTTTATGGGAATGTTCAGTGGAAAATGCGATGATGCCATTTCAGACCTTAGGTCTCTTGTTGGGACCCGGAAGTAAATGAGTATAAAATAGAGATCAAAGAAAATATAATAATAATAATAATAATAATAATAATCATGTATCAGGTTGCACGATATTGGCACCCACTGAATATAAAACCCGACATGACAGAGTGGGCCAATATCTGCACTGGAAAATCTGCAACTTCTACGGGTGCCTCCTTATTGATATGGTAGTCCCTGCTGACTGCAATGTATCTTTGAAGATATTCAAAAAGTTGTCAAAATACAAGGACCTTGAAAGAGAAATCTTGAAAATGTGGCATATGGGAATATCAACAATCCCTGTGGTAGTTGGAGCCGTAAGATTGGTTGGAAAAGATTGCAGTAGACTAATTGAAGGGATTCCTGGAAGTCCATGCCTCAATGAGAGACAAAAAATTGTTCTCACAAGTACAGCCCACACTTTACGAAGGGCTTTATCTATGTAATTTTTTTTTTTTGTTAGTGGAAAGCGTCATGATGCCATTTCTAACCTTAGGTCCCTGAGCGGGACCCGGAAAGAATGTGTAAACGCCAGAAATCAAAGAAAATATTAATAATAATAATAATAATTTTTCGAATTGTATTACTTTGCTTTGGGATTTCATCATGCATATCGATCGTACTATACAAGCTAACAGAGCAGATATTGTCAGAAATGACTTCAAAGAACGTTAATACTATCTTAAAGATACGATCATACTATCTTAAAGATACGATCGTACCGTCTGATAAAAGCATATCAATAAAAGACTAATAAAGTCTCCAAAAATAAGTATCTGAGAATAGATATATAGAAGAATGTAGCGTTTAAACACGGCCATTATTCATGTTGCTATAGGAGCTGGGGTAATGATTAGGACGAAGACTGGTAGAGACATTAAGAAACTTGCAGGAAATCTATCTTTTATCTTAATTGCAAAAGATTGTGTTAATGAGTACTGCTCACCTACATAGGAAAAGAAAATCTCTTTCAATTCAATATATTCAATAAGTTCTTAAGAAAAGAACCTTCATCTATTGCTGGTCTCAGGTGAAAGACTTGATGAATGATTGTAGCAAAGAGTAAATCTGAATAAACAAAAAAATAATAATAATGTTGAATAGCAAAATGATGATACTTTGATATATTTCTTTGCAGACAGCGACAACTTTAAAATAAAAATAGACTGCTGGACAAACACAAAATATTTGTGACTCGATAGAAATCTCATGTTCATTTAACATGAGAATTGAAGACACACACAGACACACACGCATAATAATTAAATATATAAATAAAATAAGAAATAAAAGTAAAACTAAAGAAGATCGACAACTACGATGATTTAAAGAATGAAATTATAGGGAAGACCTAGCAAAGAAAGTAATTACGGTGCAAGTAATCATTGGAGCATTGAGGTGTTGTAAAAAAAAAAAAAAAAACATGGATAAAATTTTGCAAATATTGGATTGTAGTTTGGAAAAGAAGACATGACAAAAAGGTTTCCTGCTCAGAACATTGTGGATAATTCGGAAACTACTGAAATTAGCCTGTCTGTAAAAAGAAGAAATGATTGGTTGATTTTAACATAAAATTCTTACGACCAGCCAAAAGCATCTGCTGTGAACACCAATAACAACAACAACAACAACAACAACAACAACAGCAGCAGCAGCAGCAATAATAATAATAATAATAATAATAACAGAAAGCAAAACAATTTGGTCAAATGAAATTACAAAAAAAACCCCTAAAAAAAAAAACAACAAAAAGCTGCGAAGTCAAGGCGTTGTATGGCAAATACCCCAAAAGAAGCAGATGTGAACCAACAGAAAAAAAACATCAGTGGCTGAGGAGCACCGGGCTGAAAAACTGAGACAGAAGGCCTAATTATTGCAGCTCAGGACCAAAGCCTCGCAACCAGATCCTATCACTCTCACATAATCAAGGAACTAACCTGAAATGCAGGAATAGCAGAAAATATGATGAAACTGTCGACTATATTATCTCAGGATGTCCAGAACTAGCAAAAAAATGAATAAACCCACAGACATAAGAAGGTAGCGACATATATGCACTGGAAGATACGCAAGAAGCACAAAATCGAAACCACTGAGAGATGGTATGAGCACCAACCAGACACAGTTACCCAAAATAATGATGTAACTATTCTCTGGGACATGCCAATTCAAAGTGACATAGAAATAAAAGCCAACAGGCTTGACATTATCATAAAAGACAAGAAATTCAGGAAGTGTATGTTTATGGATATAGCAGTACCATCTGAGAGAAACACCTCCATGAAAATGATCGAGAAATTGTCCAAATACAAGGACCTAAAGATCGAGATTAACAAAATGTGGTGAATGAAGACTGAGATTGTATCAATAGTAACAGGAGCTCTAGAACACAGGTGAGAAAAGGAATGGACAATTTTACAAACAGTATCCCAGGTAACATCAACATACAAGTTGCCCAGAAGATCGCCCTACTAGGAACATCCCATGTACTAAGAAAAGTGCTATCAATTAGATGATAATTCTTCTATAGGGCATAAGGACCATAGTTTGGACAAGACTCCATAGGATACAAAACAGGAAACATAACATATACAAATAATAATAATAATAATAATAATAATAATAATAATAATAATAATCATCTTTGGGATTGAAATTCCAATAATCAACCGTTCAAAAAAAGTCATTGGAATTAGTCATCGTAAGTAAAGAAATGAAAATCTGTCAGATAATGGATATCTATGTTTCAGCAAAGAGAGACCGAAATTGAAGGGAAAGCTAGAAAAACAAACGGACAATGTCAGTGATCGAAGAAAAAACAACAAAAAAATACACTTTTGGGACACATGCCGTGGCAGTTGTATGGAGGCCAATGCATACGGAATGGTCATGTAAAGCCTTTGCAGAAAAGATGAAAGACTTGGAAAGACCGACATGAAAAATAAAACCATCACGACAACAGCATTACTAAACTCAACAGGAATACTGAAAGAGGACAGGCATATTAAGTGTACTTGCTGTCACTTGATCTCTAGTGAAATAAGTCACGTACTACTGACAAAAAAAACTAAATGAGTAAATTGTCCTACTAATAATCCACATCTATCTATCTATCTATCTATCTATCTATCTATCTATCTATCTATCTAATTCTGTTTTTTATTTATCTATCTTCATCACTGAAAACGTTTTCGGAAGTTGATCGAGTCGAGAACTTCTCAGCACATTGAGTATATATATATATATATATATATATATATATATATATATATATATAAAGGGTTGCAATAAAGTCATTATGCAGTTATTTACAATAACAATTAAGATAAAGCAATTAATCAACAGTTCAGAAATTTATTATTAATATGGTTCTTGTTAATTTTGGTTAATAACAATAAAATTCTATGATAAATAATAGTAAAATAATTAGCGATACTGTTCGAACTGCAAGCCACCTGCTTCAATGCTTTGCTTTTTTATTATAAGTAACTGTATAGTGACTATGCAGTATAGAAGCCTCGGTGGAGTCATGAATAACGGCTCGAAATGAGGAATTGGAGAGCTGGGTTCTATAGCCTTGGATGGTAACTGGTCTACTGCAGAAAGAAATGGCAGCCTGTTGCGGGAAGAAATCTGTCTCGTCAGTCCTGCATGCGTGCGTGTAAGTGAGTACATTATAAAATGAAATGTTCGACTTATTATTTTAATATCAAACCCCTTGACGAGTTGATATCATATCCCCGAAGCTCCGTCGACGGACAGATAAGTTGAGAATTCATTTTTATTTTTGCTAGTGTCTTGATATTTGAGAATTTTAATTACAAAGACTTCATTAAACTATTCTGGTCGACGTTTTTTCTAAGCGTGAGGCAATCTTTATTTTACACACACGCGCACGCGCGCACACACACATATGTATCTCTGTGTGGGTGTGTGTGCGTAGTGTGTAACATTTTTCACATAGCACACATATTCTAGACAGACAGCAAAGATACTCTGATTCAAATCAGAATCGCGGACCCATAAATAATTATTTTTTTATGGCTACTATAGTTGGTTGGTTGATTTTGTTTAGCGGTATATCAACACCTCTATGGGTTATTTAATGCCGAAGTCGGAATAATTTGAACGCAATTTTATGGCGTCAACTAAATATATCATTTGTACTATATTTTTTTATATAAAAAATGTACTTTATATAAAAATGTACTGCTGGAATTTTTACTATCAAAATGTATTTTTATATTTTCATAGTATTTTGTTTTTGTTTGGAGGTTCACTATTTGCCCTTAACTGGGACCCTAACAGGTGTTACTACCCCGGATGTGGGTGGGCCTGGGAACAACAGCAATTAAAAGATGGTTCCACGCTCCTCAAAATTTCCAATCTTCCGATCAGAGACCTTTCTACCGGATGTAGTTTATCGTCATACCCAGGACTAAGCTTAATAATAATAATAATAATAATAAGGACGATAGCTCATGTGCTGACGAAAGTTTTGTGTTTCTAAACTACGGTAGGAGCTGAAATATGATCATTATCACCCGGCCGAAACATTTAGAGTCAGGGTGGATATAATAATAATAATAATAATATTAATAATAATAGTTTTATCTAATGATAGTTTTATCTATTTTTTTTTTTTTTACAAAAATGATCAGTGAAAATATCATGATGCCATTTCTGTTCTTAGGTCTCTGGTTAGGACCCGGAAGGAAATGTTTTATACAACAGAAATCAAATGAAATAATAATAATAATAATAATAATAATAATAATTAATAATAATTTGATTGAAATTGGCCCATTCTGCTAACATTGTGAGTTCGATCCATACGGGATGCCCCACACTTATGGACATTAGCGAGATCTAGACAAACTTTGTAAATACTACTACTACTACTACTAATGATGATGATGATGATGATGATGATATATAATAATAATAATATATAATAATAATAATAATAATAATAATAATAATAATAGCTTCTTCGAGTAGCTCATGTGCTGAGGAAATTGTTGTATCTCTAAGCTTCGCTAGGAGATGCAAGATCACACGGCCGAAACATTTAGATTTTAGAGTCGGAGGGGATATAATAATAATAATAATAATAATAATAATAATAATAATATTTTTGTAGAGACTCCACTATAGTTAGAGTAGAACAAATGGCATGATGAGAAATAAGTTCCACTCGAACAGCTTCTTCTGTGGAACAGACTCCCAAGATGGCAGTTCCCCGATCATTACAATCTTAATCTGTTCTAGGCTAGAGTTAACCGCTATATTTCCCTCCATATAAATTATCCATATATCTTCCCTTCCATATAAACTACGTAATCCTCTACTTCAAGTGGCCTCCGTTTTTTCTACAGAGGAGCTTAATGTAACAAAAAAATAATCCCAGAGAAACTTGCAAAGATATTAGAGGAATGGAAATGTGTGGAACCACTGAAACAGTATTACTAAAATCAGCAGGCATATTTGTGAACATAATGCCGTATTTTTGTGACTTGTTGTCACTTGATATCGAGTGGAGATCACTCGCTATTATTGTTGTTGACAACTCAAGTTTTAAAGAGAGGATGGGTGGATTTCCGAGATCGATAAAAGTGAATCTCCTAAATCGATATTCTGAGGCAAACTACAACGACATTCGCTGATAGAGATTTGGGGAAAGCCTTTTTTCTTCCTCAGACCACAGCGGCTGGCAATTCGCCGGAACGTACAGATATTGCTTCATGTGACATTTGTAACAACTTCTATCACTATTACAAAGACGCGCGGGGATATAAAATAATTTAAGTGAACACATACATAAACACACACACAAAGAAATTTTATTTCCGAACCTGGGATAAAAATTTACTAAACGCATAAAAATGAACACTCATAATACATCCATTCATACATACATACATACATACATATATATATATATATATATATATATATATATATATATATATATATATATATATATGTTGGTTTAACGTTATTTTTAATATATGCTCATATTTAAAGTAAAGCAATAAATTAAAAATATGCCGGTTTAATAAATGAAAATCCATTCCTATATATATATATATATATATATATATATATGAAAGACAACATTTTTTTATATCTTCCCAACAGGTTGAAAATATAACTGTAATTTTTAAGAAGATTTATTTAGAGTAACTTTACGGTTTCACAGTTCTATGATTAAATTGAGACATGTGGTTTTGTTGTGCTCTGTTTCGCATCGATATATATGCGAAATATATATATATATATATATATATATATATATATATATATATATATATATTTATATATATATATATATAGCGAAACTGATCAGGCGTAGCCATTAATGTCTTTTCCATCATCATCGTGGCACAGTCCCACGTCTCCCCAACTCAGTTGAAATTTGAAAGTCATAAAACTATGAAACTGGCCAAGTCACTCTAAATAAATGTTATTAAAGACAGTTGCATTTTCAAATTTTTTTGATATATATATATATATTATCATATATATATTATATATATATATATATATATATATATATATATATATATATATATATATAAAAGGCTCAAACACTAATATACTATAGTTATAATTTATTATATTGGAATCTTTAATTACGATCCAATTCATCAGACCTACAAATTCAAAAAAAAATGGAATATATATATATATATATATATATATATATATATATATATATATATATATATATATATATATATAGTATTAATAATAAATATAAAATTAGTTACTTATTGATTTATGTTATTTTCAACATCCCAATTGTAGATTGTGGATGGATCATCGTTCCGTCCACTGTCAATCAGGATATATATATATATATATATATATATATATATATATATATATATATATATATATATATATATATATATATATATATATATATATATATATATATATATATATATATATATATATATATATATATATATATATATATTGGGTGAGATAGATAGATAGATAGATAAAGCGAGAAAAGAGAGAGAGAGATGTAATCAGTATACGATATATTGTAATGATTCATTTTTTTTTATTTTAAATCGAGATGTTTTAATCTGAAAATAAAAATAAAATTGAAAGAAATTGTACAATATATGTGTTTCTTTCATTTTTCCGTCTTTGTCTATTTTCTCCCGTTGAGCTGTGTTTCATATAAAGACAGTTCAATGCACAATCGGCTCGTCCGTGTAGAATTTCATCTAGCAGCACTCCACAGTGCCAGCCAATGATTTTTTTTTATGCATTTTTCTGATTGCATTTCGTTACGTTCTTTTTTGTAACAATGATTTTTCGTTTAGCTCGTGGCTTTTTTTGTTTATATTCCTTCTGTCTGTCTGTCTGTCTGTCTGTCTGTCTGTCCCTTTTGTTTAACAATGCTTTTCAGTTGTTGTATTTTTATTTATCAATTTCTTTTCTTTTCTTCTTTTATAAATCAAAATAACGTAAGACAAAATTCCTTTTCGCTTCGCAGCAGATGAGAAAAAAACATAAATCTTGGAGGAATCTGATTTTCAAACAATCGACAAATGGTTGAGTGGACAAATCTAGATTCATCAAGCTCCTATTAAAAAAGAACAGCATCAACCCTTTCTCCAATTTATCGGTCACAAACACGCAAACACACACACACACACACACAGAAACACTCAAACACACAAACACACACACACACACAAACGCGCAAACACACACACACACACACACACACGTACATGCGCACACACCTATCTATCTTTTTATCTCTGTCTGTTCATATCTCTCTCTCTCTAATTATATATATATTGTCCTAAAATTATATATATATATATATATATATATATATATATATATTCTAATAATAAATTGGTGCACCAAAGATGACGAACAAATATATATTTATTATTATTATAAATTTTAGCTATGTTATTTTGCATCGAGCAATGTTTTATACCCAGCACTCACTGTGCACTAATCTATCTATCTATCTATCTATCTATCTATCTATCTATCTATCTATCTATCTATCTATCTATCTATCTATATATGTGTGTGTGTGTGTGTGTTTTTTTTTTTCTCTGTGTGTATTTTACTTATTAATCGGGTAGATGTTTATCACTTATTTAAAA